ACGAGTTTTAGAAGAGCATCGGTTGGAAACGCGTGACAATTACTGGACAAGCTTGTAACAATAGAAGCGAAGAAAAACATACGATTTAGGATGGAAGAAAGCTTGTCTAAATGTTCGAGCGTAGAAGAGGACGGTATCTAATGCCCACGGCAACGAGCTCGTGTTCCCATACACACGCTGGAGTGTCATGTTTATAGCCACAGTGGAATTCCGGTTAGTTTCCCTATAGTCGAACAGATAACACAATTTCGTGTCTTGTGCTTGCGTATCGGTGTTATTGGGACCGCAATGGCGCGACCGTCGCATAAATATATCGTCCTTAATGTTCAAAGCTACTTTCGACTTGCTCAACTCGGTTTTCGACTGGTGTGCGCGTAACCGTTTCTTTGTTTTAAGTTAATAAATCAACTGGCCCGCATGTTTGTGTGCAATAAAACTTCCGATATCAGTACAGCTTGGTGCGTTAGCACGTACTTCGTCGCATTCCGAAAAATCCGTATTTTCCGGAAAGAACAAACTGCGTTTTATGCTCGGAACTATGAATATTTACTAAATTGTAGGTTACTTGCGATAATCTAATTTTACTTTACATTACGTATTTCCAAAAAACTTTCAAATATCATTCATTTCTCCAATTCATATTTCAATTTATTTTAATATAGAACGAATTTAAGGGTAGAAAACTGCAGAGAGAGAAAACGCGCAAGCGTGATCGTTGATTTCACGAAGACAGGAAGGAGCGCAGGTTGTCGTACGTTAATCGTTCCCTCGCGACTTCGAAACCTCGAATTGCGAAACAATGCCTCGAAGTTCGAGGTCTTCGACTAACTGAACTGCGACTCAACGCGCGGCGCAATTTCGCGAAGATTAGCGAGCAATCAGGCCCTTTCACGACGAATTCCCTCCATTCGATTCAGCTATCCTCGGAACGGTTAGGCGTGTGCGAGGGAAGACCGTCTGCTTGCCACTTTCTACGCGAGGAACATTCAATTTAATTACCCCGTAGAATGGCACGAACTCAAGTTCTTCCTCGAAAACTTTAGCTCAACGATCTAGCTGGAGGAAAACGATTCATCTCTGCTCTTTTCCACGGTGTTACTTTTCAGATCCTTTCCGGTGCCGCTAACTTTCGAAGACAGTCACCGGTTACGTAACATTTACACAGAATCCATTATTGCGTGGCTATATCGGGTTCTCTGAATTATTTAAACGAATTTATAACCGTGGTGAATCACAGAAATGTCGTGATTTCTTCCTGGAAATTCTAAAAATCTGAAAACTCGTAACCGACTGTCTTTCTAATTAAGTAACGCTTGAAATATACAATATAGAGGACGTATTTTCTTTAACAAGTCCATGCTAGAACAGTAAATGATCCATTTCAGTTTGTACTAATCGGTAATTGCAAAGAACATGCCTTCGTCATTGTCTCAATGGAATTATATCGAATAATTTCTAAGCAGATTATTTGTAACGATGTTTCGCTATAATCTTCAACGAAAGCTACTATAAAAAATTTGAAAATTCGCGGTCACTTAAAATAACATTCAATTTTCACCTCTTGTACGCTTATACATATCCTCGGAATATTTTTCAAGCGTCAGATTGAAAATATTCGAAGTACGGTCGTTAGAGGAAGGAAGTTCACGATCGTCCCTACGCATGAGATACTTTACGAAATAGAATATGCGGGGCCATTAAAGGGCCAATGGTGAACTGGCGTGGATGCCGACGGATTGACTTCCATCAGCTTTTAAATCTGAGTAATTCCTCCTTGCCGCAAAGTTAGCCGCCGTAAAGTAGTAAGTTGAGGAATGCGCAACTTTATAATTTGATCGCCACGGGTTAGGGAGAGGCCGGAGTAATTTGCAAGGAGGCACGCGTGAAACTTCTCCATATTAATTTGAATTTATAGCGGCGAAGCAGCTTCCGTTCCATCCACTACGCTGCAGCCGGTTGTCGTCGTAGTCGATTTTTGGTTTACGACGTTGTTAAAAGTACACGGTCGTCGATATTCCGGGTCGTTGCATCGACAGGTATTCGCAGCGCGATCAAAATCTACTTAGTCGCCCGAGGATTGTCGCGTTCTCTCTTTACTTTCTGTCAAGAAAAAGTGCCGCCTAAAAACATAAAGGATTGGCTATTATTTTTTCGCGGATAACGCCGGCCGGCTCTTTCCTAAGTGATGTATGAGCCTTCCAAAGAATTCCCACGAAAAACTTGATAAAACGGCAATTTTCGTGTCTTATTTCTCCGGCGATCGTTCAATGTTCCTGCTAAAAAATGAAACGCACGGAAAGCCCACCGTAGCGACCTTATTTAGTTCCACCACGAAACTTCGCGAATATGCAGACGATGAATTATTAGAACTGTAAACTATTTTTGTCTTCTTGGGTGTGTTTGCTAAACACAGATAGCGAGGTAGTCTCCTAACATCTATCAGCAAAGATATCTAGACAATGGCATCAAGATTATTTTTTTCTGTTCAAAATTTAAAAGATAATTTCGCAATATTTATTGAATGAACATATAATCGTGATATTAAATGATTAATATACAGGCAAATGGATGTAAAAAGATGTTCGTATTTCTAATCTAAGACGTTAATGCAAATACCGTCGATGCTCAAAGCTCTTTTAGCGATATCTACTTTTCTTTAGTGTCCGCAATCGGTCAGACTTAATGGATCGTCTGTAACATGTATGTCGATTCGGGTTCCAATTTTACTCGTTTCGACGTCTATATGGCCGCAGGTTGCTTCGCTTTTCAAAGCGGTTCTTCAAAGAACTGGCGAGCTCTCCTGCAAAGATAACATCAATGGCGAACGGGCGTTGGTTCATGGATGTTTCTACAGACGCTTTTGACAAAGTGGCGGATATGTTATTAACGAGACGTTCGTAATGACGAACGGCCACGTCTAATAGAAAATGTATACATACGAATCGCGAATTTTCCTCGAAACGAAGCAAACGGTCCTACACGTTTTTCGTCTCTTTGCATTTTTGGCAACTTAATTAGAAGGAGACACGCCACGTTACGAAGATTTTATCCGCTGCTTGTTTCCTGGCTGAACGAGCTCGCTACTAGAAACTACGGAAATATTTGGCTTGCGCGAGCGACTTTATTAAAATTCGCCGCTGAAAATTCCTTGAAATTATATGTAACGTCCTAGCTATGCAATATGAAAGCTTGTTCGTTCAGAGCTCTTTCTCCCCTTTTTTATTTCGCATATTTTACTTTGTCTCGCAATCCTATCGAAATAGGTTTTCGCTAGCAAGAGTCTGCAAAGTCCAAAAATGGAAACTTATAGACTTCCTTAATGAGTCATCGTTTGTTACTAACTCCGACAGGCTAGGATTCGTGCTATGACTCATTTACATGTTGTTAGGGATCACCCGTGGCAGGCATCGCCTTTTTCACTCACTCCATAAAAAACATAGACGTTCTCGATGCTTCCTTTCTACCTTAAAACCTTTCTTTGTTAATGGACTATCCCTAATATCATATTCCACGAAATGTAACCGATACTTTTGTCAGTTGGAGCAATAGATAATAGCGCATATCTGGCTGATGTAGATTTTTGTGTTCGTGTCGTAATAGTATTGTTCGATTATCACGCGATGCGTTGCATAAGTAGATCGCACGGAGGAATAATACGTGTCACGTGGATAAGGTTCGTGAACGATGGGGGCAAACGTGCCAGGTATTTCGATGGGTGGTGACACTTTTATGTCCGTCGCATAAAAAACCCTGGTAATCAAAAGCTCGTTAAAATGATTTATAATTTACCACTGCATTTAACCCTCACAGTTCGCTCTTCGTACGTGCAGACGACTTTTTTTTCGCAATAGCGAGCGCGCCCCACGGCAATTTTAGTTCGTCTGTATTTTCGCGAACGAGAAGGGGACGAAGGGTACTAATGTTTGCGTCACAAAAGAGCGAAATTCTTCACCGGCGACGCCAGGAATTGTAAAACTCCGCGTTAACGATATATCTTCGATCAGTGGCCACGCCCAACACGTGGAAGGTATGATGATCGACGAAGACAAAATTGCGGTTCACGCGCAATAATTGTATTTCCCTGCATTTTTCGAGCGATATATTTACGATCATACCATAAAATTTGCTTTCAATGCATCGAAAGTGTTATTAGTTGGCAGCGATATCAGGTCAGATGGGCAAATCGATAAAAGTATTATGGTATATTACGAGTATATAGAATATGTTAATATACTAATCAGCTCGTCTCTACATCAGGATCTTCCATTAGGATACGTAATTTAAGGATTAGGAAACCTAAATTTATCTCAGATGCTATGTAAATCTTAGGAACGCATAGCTCCGTGGCTAGAATTAAATGATAAATACGAGGAAGCCAAAGATATTTTATATGAAGTTGAGATCGACGATCGGTGTTACAAGTAATGTTTTCACAAATTTATTACTTTTTCCGCAATAAAACTTTAAACGCGTTTTTCTCGAAACATAGTTTTGCCGTTTGGCATAGATAAAATCTTAAAAACTACATGGTCGATTTCTGTGAAATTTTTACCGGTTATACCGTATACTACATACTAGCTCTCGTCGATACCGAAATTATATTTTTACGTTGAGTCCATCATACTTTTCTTTTGAAATTCATAAAAATTGTTAAATTATACAACGTTCACAATTGAATATTCCTTTAGGCGATGCGTAAAAAAAAAGAAATAGATCTCTAAATGGAGGAGTTATTATACCTAAGAGATTAGCAATTAAACTGACGAATTAATAATTTAAATATTTAATTTTACTATCGTCCTTTAGTTTCTCAAGTGAATATGTATACAATATAATTAGACAAATTCAATTTTCTTATATATATATAAATATATATGCATATATATATATATATATATATATATATAATATATAATATATAATCATAAGATATTATTTCTATACTCCATTATACTTCCATTATTTAGTAAAAAGTTTAAAGTAACCCTTTTTTACAATTATTTATTAGAACTTCGAATTTCGAATGATTATGAATCGTAAAAAATGATGACTATTAATATTTACGTATCTGTATTGAAATATAGATTATGGAATGTTAACCTAGAGACTTCCTCATATGACATCTTTCACGTGGCTTTAACAAACCCTAAGCAATTTTAAATACTTACGAGATTGTCTACGTCATGTATTGATTGTTAAATAGATATTAATTGTTTAAATATATTAAATACTTGTACCTATAATTTACTAAGAAAATGACGGTAAGTTACAGTATTATTTAAAATATCGTTCTTTTTCTCTTTTTTTACATCTTAACCATTCTGGATATGCAATTATTTCCGTATGATTTGTAATGTGTCATTGCATAACAAAGTCAATCAATAATTATCATTTTTTATAAAATTGCTTTATAACAATATGAGTACTAGGTAAAGTCATTCATTACATTTCTAGATAAAAAAAACTAAAGCAGCAACAAAAGGTGCAAAACAGATAGTGGAAGAAAATAAAACTACATTAAATTTTTATCAAAATATGATAATTGGAGCAATAGGAATATATTTTACTGTTACAATGTTGTTCTTTAACTTTACAACATTATCAACTGTGAGTTTTGTATTTAGTACAGGAGGAAATTAAATTTGTCTAATTTCTCTAAGAATCGTAGTAAAATGAATTAAAATTTGTGAAAGTATTCTGAACGCCACTCGTCAAAACTATTGGTAATCTACTTGTGGCAGGTTTCACAAACACCTGTCTTTCCCTGAATGTTTCCGTTCGAGCCAGCATTCGACGGTTCGCAACACCAGAAGAACATAAGCAAATTTACAGTGGGAATCGAAATGTTCATTATGTTCCAGCGATTTGGGTCAACCTAGGAAAATAACGACCAGTACGCTAGCTTGCGTTTGCGAGACGGAAAGGTAAACAGTGCAGCAGTGGCCTGATCGAAATGGAATTCGGAAAACCGCGAATCGTTATTCGCTGCGTGACACGTACCTTTCTATATCGTTCACTTGTCGGAGTGCTATTTCTCTCGTTTCTTTACTTTTTACTTTTCTTCCTCCTTCCTTTTTTCTGCTGAAATTATAACATTTTAAGTCCCAGTATGTATACGAGAACGATGATTTGATAATAAATCGCTTTTCGAATTCACTCTGATGTCGAGTGGGTTTGCGAGCATTCGCTAATGGCTCTTTACCTAGATACGAAGTTCCAATTATTTTCGTTCCGATCGAAATTAATAAACCGGCCGTTACACAAATATCTCAAGCAATGCTCGATTCGTTAATAGAAGTAGTCAGCGTTTCCGTAATTACGAACTTTCTCTATCAAGGAAATTAATGAATATACAGCGAGTTCGTGGCTTGGCCGAGCTAAAAATGAAACACAACGAAATATAAATACTCACGATTATCGCATAAAAGAGAGAACGAATGATATACAAAGAGCATGAAAAATTCGCTCTTCGTGAAAAACTTCCTCTTTAATCGGAACAGAGCGTCCGAATCCTCGACATCACGATAAATATGTGACACACGAGGTTCGAACGTGATCGTCCATGGCATAGACTTTCTATGAGATCGGTAAACATGTCAGCCGAGAAGCCGGTCGAGTAGTGCACTTGTCGAAGAAGTTTCCAAGCGCTTTATCGAGATTTCCTCGGTGAGGATACGGACGTCGTTCTCGACTCGGTGCTCGCTGGACCATGACAATCCGCGTGGTGCGCGTGGCCGATAAAAAATGGGTTTGCTTAAATTCACCGTCAACCGAGGAGAAGCGGCGATCCCTTGGACGCGTGCACCCTTCCTTAAGCGATTTAGCCGGTTGGCAGGACGATAAATAATATCGCAATTGCCGTGCAGAGGCCGTACTTCGTGCGGAAAAGTAATGAGAACTTTGCACCTTACAGGCTGCCCGGTGAAATATCGGGTAGTGCATGTAAAACGTCGCCCGGATGATTTAAAATGCATGTCCCTTCGGGAACTACGCTCGCGTGGCTATCACGGCGATCCGTAAATCAGCTAGTTGTTCCGTGAATCTTTTAACGTCCTTTGTGATTTCTTTCGTAGCAGCCGAATCTTGAGAAATCACACCATAGCCCCTAGCGTATAATACGATAATAGCAGAGAGACTGTTTGGCTTTTCAATTACGTCCAATGGCGGTTACGTTTGACGTGTTAGATTTCACGCGTGAGATTGTTAAGCAGTCTACATTGGTCTATATGATACATTTACTACCGCACATAAGTAGAGAATTATAAATTTTAGAGAATTTATGTACTCGCTAGGACAACTGAGATATCGAAGTTTCTTTTTCAGGTGGTGACCACGATATATGCTACGCGAGCATAGAAAAATGAAAGCCCATCTATTACAGATGCGTCGTTTTACGCCGGTAGGATTGCAACAATAGGGAGGATGAATTTGCTTTATGTTGTGAAAGAGTCGTCAGGGAGTCTGCGTTTAGTGAGGCAAAAGAATCTCTCCAATGCGAGCCTGACAAAAAGTAAGATTATCACCGATAAATCTTCTACCCACTCCATCCATAAAAAAAGAGTTCCTTTTCCTTTTTATGAAATAACAGGTAACCGTAGAACCTGTTTCATTCGCCATTACGTATAATATTCAAAATCGGTATCAGTATTAGAAAAAAAAAAAAAAAAAAGGAAAGAAACAAAAATAATATTGCGTTTCAGGCGTAGTATCCACGAACGATATGGCTTAAACCTACTTCATAAACCACCATAACCTTATCATACCCACCTTACTCCTTGATCTCGCAACCTTCGATCCATCTCTTCAGCAGCGTGAGCTGCTGAAGTTATCGCGATACAAGGAATGCGGTTTTCGTGCTTATTCAACAGCCAGACGCGATTATGGTCGCGCGTAGGGTGAGAAGAGAAAGGGGGAAAAAAGGCTGCAGGACGTTGTTCATTCTAGCGAGAGGGCCGTCACCGAGTCTGGGCTTACTAGACCAAGAGAATCCTCTCTATGCGAGCTGGATAAAAAATGGGATTGCTTAAATTCACCGTCAACCCCAAGAGTCGGCCCCTCGTTCGCAAGAAGTTTGGCGAACCATTGCGGCAATAAATAATGGCGAATCCGCCCCTTTCGTCCCATAGACCACGAAAGACAGGAAGAAAGAGAGAGAGAGAGAGAGAGAGAGAGAGAAGGAACGTGTGAGCCAAGAAAGTAATGAGAACTTTGCACCTCCAGCCCCTGCTTGGTATAATGTCGATTCATACACGTATCGCCGATTTAATGTACACTTGGGGGAACCGTGCGTTGGTTATTATTTACTGCGTGTACATAAATTTAATGGGGAAGCTAGTACGCCGCGTACATCGCAAGCCGCCATTTTAATGGTATCTTGAGCGCGTGAACCGCGAACGTCTCTATTAAAAAGTGTTTTATCTTGATTTATTCCCACCTAGAGAAATTGCTAGAGATTATTTTGGAGAGGAAGCGAACGGGAGGGGAGTAGTAACGAATAATTTTATTATGCCGCTGATAAACACGGAACATTTGGAGGAATCGCGTTATTAAGAAAAATAATACACCGCTCGTTGCCGATATTAAATTTCTAACGAAGCTTAAAATGTTCTGCTTTTCTCACCGACAACTTGGCTTCTTCGATAATGTCACTTAAAGAGATTAGATCGTGAAGCCGTTGTCTCCAAACGAGCCGAGCCATTCCCGATATTATGAAGAGTGTGTTTGCCGTTTCATGCGCGTTTTCTGGTAGCCGATGATAATTGTGTTAATTTATTATCCGCTATCGTTCACCCGAGGTACGGCTCTTCGTTGATTAAGCGGGCCGCGTGATTAAGCTGAAAGCGTGTAAGTATGATTCATCGTGAGTTTCCAAACAACGACGCCGTCCGTGCACACGTAATCCTGATTAAGAAAGCTCCTCGACTTCCGGGCTCGCCTCCCGAATCCATAGACGGTTTCCCGATCAAACGACGCACGATACGACCGTATGGGTACAAGATATCGCCTCTGCCTTCACGCGATCCGGAAGAAATTAGCGAATTCGATTTAGAAGCAACCGGTTGCACCTTCTGTCGACTGTCACCTTCCAGCAATGAAATTGGTGATTTACTACGGTTGCCGTGGCGAAACGGCCAAGCGCAGACTCGATCATTTCTTCTCCGTTCGATCTGTCCTTCGTGAGAGTTTACGCTACACGAGGAAAAAAAGGAAAAAAAAGATGGTGTCATTTTTCTTGCGAGAAACCTTTTCCCAGTGCAGAGCGGCGCATGTACGACTGGAGAGTTTTTGCGAAGCAACGCATTACACTGCCTACCAAAAGGCTGCTTCCTTAACACGTTTTTCAGAAAACGTCATAGTTTATCGAGTCAGATGTTTTTCCCGGGTTGCGCGTCTCTTTCTATACGGAATCAGCAAAAACGGCCCTTCGGATCCATAATTCATACACCCTCCAGCGCTCTTAAACGTTATCCACCCTCTGATTTCCAATGGTATCGCTCTATTATACTTCGAAAACGGTGAACCGTAACGTTGCTGGTGGCTATGGAAACTCGTGCATCCACGACACTCAGTGTCGTTTTCAACCTGTGGTCATCGTGATTGTTGCAGTTATGCTTTAAACCACAGCCAGGCGGAATAGCATTTAGGCCGGCATAGCAGGGCCGATTCCTGGTAGCGAAATTTTTATCTAGTCCACCTTCTAGGGCGTATTTCTCCTTCTGTTCGGGAAAAATAAGGGTCGGGCGATTAAATCTGTGGCACCGGTGATTTCCTACTGACAGCCGTAATAAGTCGTCGGTTCCGGAACAATATGATTTCTACTCGTGGAAAATTGGTTTGCGTGTTTATGGTATAGCCAACAGATGGGACCGGTAAACGAGCATGACTGTTATTTTCCGTGGCCGAAGAGTTCGATAGTTACTCGAACAGTTGGCAACCTGCCTGGCAGTCTCCTTATCGTTAGGTAAACTTTAGATTCTCTGTTGATCCGTTTTCCTCGCTCGTGGAAACGTTTAACGCGAAACAATACTGTTAAATTACAAATTTCACGGGATATCGGACTCACGGATATGTAATTCCCGTTGTATTTTCTTCCGTCCTGGCCACGCTCTCTTTTCTCGATACTTCTATTATACCTTAATATTTTCTATCAGTTCAAGACCTCATAAAGAGCGAAAATTTGCGGGATTACACGAGATGCCGGATCATTTTGAGGAGATTACTTCGTTAGAGCTTCACCTTCTCGATTACCAAAAGTAGATTTTTCTCATTTCCACTGTGGAGGAATAATCAACAGACATATCCGGTCTGTCGCTGTCTTCCGACACCGACATATCGATAGTAGTGTCCTTTTTCCTACTGCGATCGATATTCCAACTGTAGCGCCACGCGTTAAGGAGTTAAAACCGTCTCAGTGTATTACGACGTGCACGAGTTAGAATTTCTCGATTCCGGGCCATATGGTGTCAGCGTATTACGTGATGCTGCGTGCTCGAGGAACTAACGTGCGATCGAACTCGATCAGGTGAAGTAATAGAATTAATCGAACGCAGTGCCAGTTAGATTGAGCTGACACGACAACGACGATATGCGCACGGAGAAATATATCGGTTTGTGAGTCTTTGCCAGTTCATAACTGTTGC